CCCAGGTTGGATAGAGTGTCGGCCTGCGGACTGAAGCATCCTGGGTTAGATTCTGGTCAAGGGCACATGCCCAGGTTGCAGGCTCGACCCCCAGGGGGAGTTGTGCAGGAGGCGGCTGATCAATGATTCTTTCTCATCATTGATATTTCTGTCTCTTTTCTCCTTCTCCCTTCCTCTCTGAAATCAATAATAATATATTTTAAAAAATTAAAAATGAAACTGCCTTTTGACCCAGCGATCCTACTTCTGGGAATTTATCTGAAGAAATGTGAAACAATACTTCAAAACAATATATACAACTCTATGTTCATTGCAGTGTTATTTACAATAGCCAAGATCTGGAAACTTCCCAAGTGCCCCTCAGTAGATGAGTGCATAAAAAAGCTGTGGTACATTTACACAATGGAATACTCCTCTGTAAAAAGAAAAAGGGAAATTTTACATTTTGTGACAGCATGGATGGACTTAGAGAGTATTATGCTAAGTGAAATAAGTCAGTCAGAGAAGGACAAATACCATATGATCTCACTTATATGTGAAATCTAGCAAACAAAATAAACTGACGAATAAAATAAAACAGGCATGGATACATGGAACAGATTGGCAGCTGTCAGAGGGGAGGAGGTTTGGGGGGCTGGGTGAAAGAAGGTGCAGGGATTAAAAAAAAAATAATATATATATACACACACACACACACACACAACACATAGATACAGGCAAAAATGTGGTGATAGCCAGAAGGAAAGAGGGGTGGGGTAGGTGGAGGTAGGCAAAAGGGGGATAAGTGGGGAGGGGAGGAAAATTTGCTTTGGGCAATTGGTTCAGAATGCACTGTGTAGAGGATGTTTTGTTGAGTTGTACACTTGAAACCTGTATTTTTGTGAACCAATTGCACCTCAAAAATTCAACAAAAATATGTCACATATATTAAGCTTAACTTCATAATGCAATGAGATATATATATGTATATATATATATATAAACATCTGTGTTTTATTTATATATATATGTATATATATATATAAACATCTGTGTTTTATTTACCCAACTAAATATTATAAGCTCATTGAGTTTAAAAATATTGTATACATGTCTATGTATGTGTTTTATTTATTTTAAAAATATTTTATTAACAGACAGCTGTCAGTCTTTTCTATGTATCTATGCCTCTGGTGAAAAAAAGATAATCAGAGGCATGGATACATGGACAAGACTGACAGAGGTCAGAGGGGAGGGGGATACGAGAGGACTGGATGAAAGAAGGTAAAGAGATTAGCCAAAGAACATATATGCATAGCCCATGGACATAGACAACAGTGTGGTGATGGCCAGAGGGAGGGGAAGTGAAGGCTGGGTAGAGTGGGTAAAGGAGGGGGAGAAAAGGGGGACATCTGTAATAGTTTCAACAATAAATTAAAAACAAAAAACAAAGAAACAAAAAAAAAATAATAAGAGTGCCTGACCCTGGGAAGATGGTACCTGAGGGTGATATGGGATATTGATTCAGGACTGTGACTGAGGTAGTTGACCCTCCATTTCTCTCTTTGGGGCCACGCCACCAGATCTCTATGACTACCGGATGCCCTGGGCCACCTTCCCTCTATGTGAGCTCTTGGTGAGTTCCTGAGAGCAAGCTCCTGTGCAGTGACCCGTTAGGACAGCACCTGGTATTCTGGCAGACTCTCTCCTCTTCCTATTGAGTTCCTACCAATTTTCACTGCCTGATGCTATGCAGGCTCCTCTTCCTAGCCCTAGTGCTCTGGGTTGGGGGTCCTGGCATGGGGTTGAGTCCCTATGCTTCTCAGGCAGTACTTTTATAGCCAAGATATCCCTCTGGCTCCTCAGTCACCACACATGGATTCGGGGGCCAGCCCTCTTCACATCACTGCCCTTCTCACCAGTCTCTGTGTAGCTTCTTTAATAAATCCTTGGATGTAATGGTCCTGTTCATCTGTCCTTCAGTCATTCATTTAGTTTCATTGCTCTATAATTTTGCTATAAATCTGGTTTGGCACCTGGATGTGGTGAGGGTAGCTTTCACCTACTCTGTAGCCATCTTGAAATCTCCACAATGATATATTTTTATGTGAACAATATATTTCAAATTATGAATGTCTTTTTAAAAAATATATATATTTTATTGATTTTTTACAGAGAGGAAGGGAGAGGGATAGAGAATTAGAAACATCGATGAGAGAGAAACATCGATCAGCTGCCTCCTGCACACCCCCCTGCACCCCCCCTACTCGGGATGTGCTCATAACCAAGGTACATGCCCTTGACCAGAATCGAACCTGGAACCCTTCAGTCCGCAGGCCGATGCTCTATCCACTGAGCCAAACTGGTTAGGGCATGAATGTCTTTTGAAATAGTCCATCAGTGGATTCTTTCAAATGGTTCCCAATATTAATAAAATTGTCGTAAACATAATAATTCATGAGTCTTTGATTGTGGTCTATTATATTTATTTATGTTTTATATAGGAGAGATTATTGAAATTAAAACATTATATTTAACTTGTTCCTGATTAGGTTTAATATGTACAAAGTGTTAACAAAATACACATTATACATACTAGGATTGTTTATATTTTTAAATAAAAAATTATTTGATCTGGAAAAAGATATGACCTTATAATCAATTATTAAAAGTTAAAACAGAAACAAGAAAACAAATAAATAACCCAACTGTTGGAAATATCAGTCAAGATTTATATAATTTTGTTAAAAATAAATAAAACATAGTTAAGATACTTGAATGTTTAGCGAGATAATAAGAATTAGGATCTTGAAAGTATTCAAATGTTATTATACAACTAAAATCATTATAACCTAAAAAGATGTACTTAATGGATGGGTTTAAACAATGGATTTTTTAAAAAAGAAGACAGGATTAGGAACTGGGAGATAGATTAATACAAATGACAGAAACTGAAGTGAAAGGAATAAAAAGAGAATCGCAAAAAATGAGCATAAGACAAATGATAGACACAAAGTATATACACTGAGTAGCCAGATTATTATGACCACCTGACGTTTGTAGGAAAATTAGCTATAATTTCGCACTGAAGTTACTTGAGGGCCAGATCATTATAAACGTCTGAATAGCACAACATACACAAGTATCGTTGCTGATCAGGTTCATCCTATCATGTTGATGGTATATCCCAACGGAGATGGCTTCTTCCAACAAGACAATGCGCCATGCCACAGTGCTTGTATTGTGCAGGAGTGGTTTCAAGAACATGAGGGAGACTTCACCTTGCTTAGGTGGCCCCACAATCACCAGATCCCAATCCAATTGAGCATTTGTAGGACAAAGTTAAAAGAGCCATCAGGCAGCTGGTTCCACAACCATCAAATCTCACAGAACTGGACAGTGCTATTCATCAGAGTGAAATAAGTCAGAGTGGATACATGGAACAGATTGGCAGCTGTCAGAGGGAAGGACACCATAATCCCTTATTATGGTGTCAGATTCCTTGCATCACCTTTCAACATCTTGTGGAGTCAATGCCAAGAATTGCCGCAGTACTGAAGGCAAAAGGTGGACCACCAATGGGGTGGTCATAATAATCTGGCCAGTCATAATAATCTGGCCACTCAGTATATAAGAATAATTATAGTTCCAACCAGAGAGAAGAGAGAAACTAGAAAAAAATATTCAAGAAAATAATAACAGAAACCATCCAAAACAAATGAAAGGTATAAATTCACAAATTCAAGAAGGCCAGAAAAACTCCAAGATATATGCAAACTATCCACAGATGGATATATTATAAATGTTCTTAAAAAAAAAAGACAAAAAAAGCCAGCTATAAAAGGTACATTACATTCATAGGAGCAAGAGTAAAACTTTCAAGTCAGTTCTTAATACCAAAGATAGAAATAAAAAGTACTTGATGAACAATTTTGAAGTTCTAAGAACCCCGGCCAAATTAAAATTCTATACTCATGAAATTATCCCTTTCAAAATTAAGACTAACAAAATAAAAATGTTTCCACACAATCAAAACCTTAGATAATTAATCTCTTGCATTCCTATACTAAAGGAAATATTGGTCAATGGTGTTTGAACATACTTTTTTAAAAAAAATAAAAAAACCGCCCTAACCGGTTTGGCTCAGTGGATAGAGCGTCAGCCTGCAGACTGAAGAGTCCTAGGTTTGATTCCGGTCAAGGGCATGTACCTTGGCTGCGGGCACATCCCCAGTAGGGGGTGTGCAGGAGGCAGCCAATCGATGTTTCTCTCTCATCGATGTTTCTAACTCTCTATCCCTCTCCCTCCTTTCTGTAAAAAATCAATAAAATTTATTTAAAAAAAAAATAAAAAACCTTTAACTTATTCTTCTTTATGCTCACTGTATAAGTATTAGAAAATTCAGACTAAAATTATTATAAAAATCACCTATACCTTATAACCCAAGTATAGTCACCCATTCATACAATTTTAGCATAGATTGATGTGTGATGTTTAGATTAACATATTATTTTAAAATTCCATCATATTTAACTGATTGATCTGGGACATACTTGTCTCACAAATATAATGTGAATATATTTCCATCAGCAAACATATAAACCCATATTATTACCTCTTACTACTCTTTTATATTGTAAATTATAGATGTGCCATGGTTGATTTAACCTAGTATGCACTTTTGTTAACCTAGATAACATTTGTTACATAGTAGTGTATTTTCTGTTTAATACTTGATTAGTATACTTTTTTTGTGTGTACTTTATTTGGTCTCATGTTGAATATTTTCTTCTAAATAATTAACAACATAAATAAAAATTTTACAAACATAAGCATTAATGAATTGTTTTGTATTTTGAAAGAGAGAAGAAAAATATATTTACACGAACACTCATTTATGCTAAAAGTATAATGGTAAATTGAATATATATGACATATGTAATATATACATTTCATAAAAATCTGTCTAAAAGAAAAAAATATGAGGATCTGATATAGGGATGAATGGCTGTAAAAATGTCCTAATGAGAGGAATAAAGCAAGTGCTGATATTCAAAGCATAGAATACCCCAGTATAGTTTAACAATTTTTCAGGGAAGGCCAGTCTCCACTTCATTGTATTCTAACCTCTCGTCTAGGAGTAGAGAGGTGAAATGATCTGAATTCTATGAGAATGCTAACTAAGACCCCAAAGAAACTGATATCTAATGACCTATTCAAGGCTTTGCAAGAAACATCCACCAACATATCACTCATACAATTGCTCTAAGACAACTTGACACAGAGACATTTGACTAGTATCTCTACTGGTCCTCTCCATATCCTGATAAATAATGTCACCTCAAGCCTGGTGAGAATCACTGAGAAAAGGACAAGATTAGTTTCTATTATTAAAGTCATTTCTGCTTTGGAAGCAACAAACCACCAGGTCCCGAATCTGCTTGGTCTTAATGCCATAAATGACGGGATTTAACATAGGTGGAATGAGAGTATAGACATTGGCCAGCAGAACGTGAACGTGGAGTGCAATGTGGCGCCCAAAGCGCTGTGTGAGAACCGAGAAGATCCCAGGTCCATAAAAGAGGATGATGACACAGACGTGGGAGCCACACGTGTTGAGAGCTTTGTGTCGAGCATCTCGGGATGGGATGTGGAAGACAGCACGGAGAATAAGCACATATGAAACAAAAATTAGCACAACATCTAAGACTAAGGTGGACATTAGGACAAAAAAACCATACCAGATGTTTACTCGTATGTCATTACAGGAAATTTTGGCCAAGACAATGTGCTTACAAGTGGTGTTTGGGATGATGTTGCTTTTGCAGAAAGTCAGTCTTTTTAGAAGAAATATAACAGGAAAAACTGTACCATAACTTCTCAGAAAGATTGTCGCACCGATTTTTCCAATCAGCGCATGTGTAAGGATAGCTGTGTATCTCAGCGGGTAGCATATGGCAATGTAGCGGTCAAATGCCATCACCAGCAGGATCCCTGACTCAGACATGAAAGTGGAAGTGAGGAAGAATACCTGAGCGATGCAGCGATTCAGGGAGATCTCCCCAGCATGGAACCAGAAGATGGCCAAGGCCTGAGGTACTGTGCACATGGAGAGAACAACATCTGCTCCGGCCAGCATGCTGAGGAAGAGGTACATGGGTTCATGGAGACTGCGTTTTGTGAGGATAATGAAGACGAGCAGACTGTTCCCAAGCAGGGCGATGAGGTAGGAAATGAAGAAGGGGATGGAAATCCACATGTGCTGGTCCTCAAGGCCAGGGATGCCCAGCAAGCGGAAGACTGTGTGGCTAACACCAGTGTGGTTTAAGGCAGTCATGCTCGTGGAAATCTTTTAAGACCTTGTCACCTATTTACAGAGACAGAGGAAAATTCAATTATCTGTATATTTTTCTGTTTTCTGTACTTACAATCCTGTCTTTGCCAAAATGTCTTACAAATGGAGTCATGCTGTGTGTATCCTTTGCAGTCTGGGTTGCTTCACTTAGCCTAATGCATTTGAGATTTTTCTATGTTATACTTGTATTAGTAGTTCATGCCTTTTCATTGCTGGCAGTATTCCATTATATGGATGTACCAGATTAAGTCATCCATTTTTCAGTTGGACTACATACATTTGGATTGTTTTCAGGTTCTGATGATTACAAATAAAGATGTTAAAATTTCATATATTTGATATGAAGTGAAAACTAAATTACACTTCATTTGGCTAAAAATCTAAGTCTAGCCCTGGTCTGTGTTTCTCATTGGTTAGAGTGTAGACACACAGATGGAAGGGTCTGGGGTTTGATTCCCAACCAAGGTCAGGTACCTGGGTTTGTAGGTTCAATCCCTATCCTGGTCTGGGCATGTGTGGGAGGCAAGCAATCAGTGTCTATCTCTCTCATGTCAATGTTTATCTCTCTCTCTCCTCCCTTCCTTCCACTTTCTCTGAAATCAATGGAAAAAATACCCTCGGGTGAGTATTTAAAACAATTCTGTCTAAGATCACCAGGTCATAGAGTAAGCATATGTTTAACTTTATTTAAAAGTTGCCCAATTTCTTCAAAGTGCCAATTTTGTGAATTTCCAACAGCAATGTATGAGCTGCCATTACTTCACATCCTCATCAGGACCTGGTACTTTAAAAAAAACACCTACATATATATTTTATTTTATTGATTTCAGAGAGGAAGGGAGAGAGGGAGAGAGATATGGAAACATCAATGAAGAGGAAGAATCACTGATAGGCTGCCTCTGGCATGCCCCCCACTGAGGATCGAGCCTGCAACCGCATGTGCCTCTGACCAGAATCGAACTCGGGATCTTCAGACCATAGGCTGATGTTCTGTCCATTGAGCCAAACCGGCTAAGGCCTGGTACTATCTTTTTAAAAATTTAAGCATTCTAATAGGCTGTTAAAGATACATTATTGTAGTTTATTTTACATTTCCATACTTTAAATACATATGCAAATACAAAATTCTGATCAGTAGTATTTGCCAATTTCTGCAGTGTATATTCTCCTACCATGGTCTTGTTTCAGCTGCCCACATGATGTCAGTGAATGTGGAGTCTGCAAGCAATGGGCACAAATGAGTCAGTACAAGTGGCTCTAGCACACAGCTGATTTTGTCTCTTTCATTCTGTCTATTTATTTCTAGTCAATGGTCCTAATATTTTCCACCACCTACCGTAGGTCCTGTAGCATCGAGTCTGGAGAAGGCATTCTTGCCTGAAATTTCATCCCACAGAAATAAAAAAAATCACTCACCTGCTTTAAATGGAGTTCTCATGGGCTAGATGAAGTGAGTCACAAGAGGTCTCCGAGTGACTGGCGCCAAGCAACTGAGATTTTATGTATTTGCCTGAGAGCCTCAGAGGCAGCTCTTATTCCAGGGAGTCCAGATTTAGAGCTGTCCTTTCAACAACATCTCCTTTCTTCCACACATGGGATCAAGTCATTATGGCTCTTCAAGTCTGACTATCCCGCTGTTTACTCTGCATATTCCTTTGTTATTTGTGCTCATGTACTTATTTCTAATAAATTGGTAGCATTACCACAATTTATTCCTGTTTCTATTTTAATGGCAATTAGTAAATATTAATCCTGTTTTCAGTCAGCACAATTATGAAAATCAACGTAATTTAAAGACACTTAACAAAAGTGTTCCTTGGTAACATAGAGAAATGAATTAAATTTATACCACATTTGTTAAGTCAATACAACTTTGGGGTTTGTAATAATAATGTTTAAGTATTTATATGAAAATACTTGAATATGTTTTGGGAAAGTGTACTTGTGCTACTTAATGTGAATCAAGGTCAACTATGAAAGCCACTCTGTATCCTCTTTTCCTTTGGCTACCAAATGATCTACATTTAATTTTCAGTTATCTTATTCAGCTCTGCTTCTGGTAAATGTATCTCCACCTTTTCATATCTTTTTACTTTTATTTAATTAAGCCAAGTAACTATATATAAATATTTGTATATGCCTAAGAAATATATTTTTATCTGTGCATTATATTTAAACCATAGCATTCTAGTCAAAATGATATAAGAAGGTGATCCAGAATTCTACTTCCACTTAATTTATAGAGAAGCTCAATAAAAAATTTTCACTTATATTAATTTTAAGAAAATTAAAATGTACCAAAATGTTGCAAGAATATTATGATGAAAACCCATTTAGCCTCCATCTGCAGTTACCCATTATTATACTTTTGCCACATTTCCTTTTTGCTTTCTCTCTTTCGTATCCTTGGTATATATATATATATATTATACGTTATTATTGCATTTTTCTTTCTTCCTTTTATATATAGAGAGAAAGGAAGAGAGAGAAATTTTGATTTATTATTCCACTTATTTATGCATTCATTGATTGATTCTTATACATGCCCTGTCCGAGTTTCAAACCCACAATCTTGGCATATTGGAAGTACACTAACCAACTGAGCTATCTGGCCAGGGCTTTACACTTTTCTCTTGGTAAACCATTTGTAATAATTTGCAGATATCATGACCTTTCACTTTAAATATTCAACATGTATTTATTAAGAACAAGAACCTCTTATATGACCATAGTTCAGTACACAATCCAGGATATTTAACATTGATACAATACCATTATCTAATATTCAGTCCATATTCATAATTACTATGTTAGGATTCAATCATTTATAGCAATACTTTTTTTCCAATCCTTAAATACAATGGCATTTATTGGTTGTATATCTTTTGCTATGTATCTTTATTCTCCTTTTCTTTTCCTTCTTTCCAACTTTACTGAGATATAATTGACATATAACATTGTGTAATTTTAAAAAAGTCTTTATTGTTGAAAGTATTACATAGGTCCTCCTTCCCCCCTCATTGACCTCTTCCAGCCCGCTCCTGTCAACATTGTGTAATTTTAAGGTACATGTATGTATTTCAAAATGATGAAACCACAGCTTTAGCTAACACCTCCATCCCATCACATAGCTTCCATTTTTTTAATGATCTACTCTTTTAACAACATCCAAATATATAATACAGTAGTATTAGCTATAATCACTATGCTGTACATTAGTTCTCCAGAACTTGTTAATCTCATAACTGGAAATTTATACCCTTTTACCAATATCTCCTCATTTCCTCCAACCCTTAGCCCCAGGATACCACCACGCTAATCTGTTTCTCTGAGTTTGGCTATTTTATTTTCTATGTAAATTGATATCATAGAGTTTTTATCTTTTTCTATTTGACTTATTTCTCTTAGCATAATGCCCCCTTAGTTTCATCCATATTGTTACAAACAGCAGGATTTTCTTCATTATCATATCTTCTTTATCCATTCATAGGTTGATGGACAATTAGGCTATTTCCATATATTGTAACTATAAATAATGATGCAGCATTATGGGAATACAGATATCTCTACAAGTTCATGATTTTAATTTCTTTGGATGCACACGCAGAAATGGGATTGCTGAATCATATGGTAGTTTTATTTTTAATGTTTTGAGGAACGTCCATACTGTTTTCCATAGTGATTGTACCATTTAGCATTCCACCAATAGTGCGCAAGGATTCCCCTTTTCCACTTGTTCTCATGGCTGCTGGTGGGGTTCCGCCAGAGCCTAGGCTAGTGTCTTCCATCTGTGAAGCTGCTTAACAAACCTCATCATTATGGGAGTGTAACATAAACTACAATGATGTACCTTTGACAACCTATTAGAATGCTTAAATTGAAAAAAAGATAGTACCAGGTTCTGATGAGGATGTGGAGTATTGGCAGCTCACACATTGCTGGTGGAAATTCACAAAAGTATTGGCACTTTGGAGAAATTGGGCAATTTTTAAGTAAAGTTAAATATGTGCTTAGCTTAAAATCTGGCATTCTTAGACTGAGATTTTTCTTTTAAATCCTCACCCAGGGATATTTTTCACCCACTGATTTTAGAGAAAGTGGAAGGAAGGGAGAGGGAGAGAGAGAAACATTGATGTAAGAGAGACACACATTGATTGGTTGCCTCCCACACCTGCCCAATCAGGGCAGGGTTCAAATCTGCAACCCTGCCCTTGACTGGGAATCAAACTCAAGAACCTCTGTCTGTGTGCCCACACTCTAACCAATGAGAAACACAGACCAGGGCTAGACTTAGATTTTTAGCCAAATGAAGTGTAATTTAGTTTTCACTTCATATCAAATATATGAAATTTTAACATCTTTATTTGTAATCATCAGAACCTGAAAACAATCCAAATGTATGTAGTCCAACTGAAAAATGGATGACTTAATCTGGTACATCCATATAATGGAATACTGCCAGCAATGAAAAGGCATGAACTACTAATACAAGTATAACATAGAAAAATCTCAAATGCATTAGGCTAAGTGAAGCAACCCAGACTGCAAAGGATACACACAGCATGACTCCATTTGTAAGACATTTTGGCAAAGACAGGATTGTAAGTACAGAAAACAGATAAAAGGCTACAAGGGCTATTGGGAGTTGATTAAAAAGGTGCCCATGGGTGTTTTTGGGGGGAGGGTGATGGAACAATTCTGTATTTTACTGTGGTAGTTGCATGTTTATTGAAACTCAGAAATGTAAACCAAAAAGAGTGAATTTCACTTTATTAATTTGTATGATTAAACATGAAAAAATAGAATGATAAAAAATGGTACCTTAACTTCTCATATTGCCATTGGATTCCATTCACATTCTGGAAAACATGAACTTGCTAGAATTTCTAAAAAGTGCATTTAAAACTTTTTGCACAGAAAAAGCACATATTCAGCCTGGCTAGGACACAATCGCTCATACATAAATACAGTAAAAATTTCAG